AACGTTTTCTGGAAGAACAAAGAATGGTTTACCAACAAGGGTAGTTTGAAAAAAATATGACGAGAAAATTTATCAAAATTCAATGGTTAAAAACTGTCTATTTTTCAACTTGAAATATTTCGAGACTCATAAGTCACACATCGACCTGGAAAGAAGCGTATTGAAGGCCATTCACAGGTCTTTAAAGACATGTATCAGACTTGAATGTTGGTTCCCTAAATTAAACAAAAATATGGGCAGTTTGAACCCACTGTCGCGATGAGACGTCATGTCCGGAAACAAAACCCTATGGGACTTTCCGAAGCCAAATGACGCTATAGTGAGCGCGTTCACTGAAGTGCCTAAATTTATTATACTGTTGCTGTTGTGTTTGTTAGGTTCTTTAGATCATTGTTTGATTCATAACAAGACGTAAGACACACATCGGGGTAACGGTAAGGAACATTGAGGCAGCCATCTTGGTAACCCAAAATGCAATAGTTTATTTCTTTAGAATTGATTACAACGTCATATCCGGATCGGTATCGATTATTGTTATTATTATCGAATATGACAGTTGCTGTAATTATTGTTGTTGTTGTTGTTGTTGTTGTTGTTGTTGTTGTTGTTGTTGTTGTTGTCGTTGTTGCTCTACTTGTTCTTGCTCGTGTTCTTGTCGTTTTGCAATCGTATAAAATATCTGGTATTTCAGGTTTTAACTCTTTATCAATTAATTGTTATCTCACCCAAGCATTTGAAGCCATGGAATGCTTACAGGTTTACGCCTCTGCTCCTGCTGTTGTCTTTTATTTTTTGGTAAGTTTACGGCGTTTGCAACTGCATAAGGTGATATGAGCACGCGGGACACACCAAACATTTTCAGTTGATAGGAAATGTTGAATGTTGGCCGGGTGGCGGCGGAAAGCCTACTGTTATCGATTTTGGACCATCAAGGGATCTCCAACGTGTGCAACTTGCACACGGGACCTCTGAGATTTTTCGCCCTTGTTCGAGAAGGCAAGGTGTAGATCTTTCCTACCATAAGATGAGGGGGTGTGGCTGAAAGACAGCAGTAAGAAGGAATGCCGTTGTCGCTATGTCTTCAGTTTGATCTTTACTTACCCAGATCCCCATGCCTTATGATAATAAGTGAGGCCGCGTGGTGGAATCAGGCTCTCGTCAATTTTTGTGCATGTAGAGTTATTGGCATCATCTTAAAGCGTGTTTACTTGTCTTTATATCGATGAAAAAATATCCATTTATCTTGAATACAAGTCGAGATATTTGCGAAAGAAGGAGATGGGGTTCATCTACTTTCAGAGATAAAATTAGTGAGAAAATGGCCGCCAAAGATTAGTTATTTTCCTTTGCTAAAGAGTCCGTGGTAACTAAAAATTTACATTTTTTGTACCTTTAATCAACGTTTTTCAGAAAAATCCACACATAAATGAGTTCTTTAATGGGTCTGAAAGGTGTTGAGCCAAAAATAAAAAAAATGATAAAAATTC